TACAAAATAATTGAAGTATTGCAAAATAAATGAAAGTTTTGCCAACAAAAACTAAAGTATTTAGAAAATAATAAATGTGCATTTTGCAAACAAAAATAAAACCGAGCAAAAACAATGATTTTGCAACACATATTTTCCATGGTCATAGCTACTAATTTATTTGCAACGCTGCTTTTATATGCTTTTTATTATTTTTTCAAATTATACTTTATTTTCCTTTTGTAATTCTTTATGTTTGTTTGCAAAAAAGCACTTTTTTTTTTTGCTCAATACTTTCATTTCTTTTGCAAATGTACAGTATGTGGTATTGAATTGACTCCATAGAGTACACATTCCAAAATTGCTAATACTAAGCTTCAACTGCAAATTAGAATCAAAGTCTAAGCCAAATCAAGCTGAGAATTACATTTTTTGAAAACCTGTATTTCTACAAAAATAAATAAATGAATACATTTTAATAAAATGTTCAATAAATTATGTATTTGTGGCAGCTGTAATTGCAATCTCAATTTTTTATTATTATTATTATTAAATGTGCAGCCTTAAAGGAGTAGTTCACTTCCAGGATGCAAATTCTGCTATTCGAGTTTCTTTCTTCTGTTGAACACAAAAGAAGATATTTTGAAAAAATTTGGTATCCGAACAGTTGATGGGCACTAATGGGCATTAAAGGTGAACATTAATTTATTTGTACCATTTTTATTTCTAAAATGTTACATAGTTTTATTGGAGGAGGTTTCATAGGCTTTGCAAATTCGCTTTTCATACGTTTGTAGGTACAGACATCCATTGTGGGCATTCTTGGCAGTTTTTTGACGCTTTTTTTAATATTGTTCATATCGATATCGGAATTATATCGACTGAAATTAAGAAACCGTGATATAGATTTTGGCCATATCATCCAGCCCTACTTTTTGAAAGACAATTCTTGAAAAATGCATCAACGAAATTGTTGGCATTATGTCAATCAAGCTCATTGTAAGGCTGCAACTCTGCAACACTTTGGCATATTGACACCAAAGTTTTTATTTGTCATTATCATATCAGATTGACCACGCATGATAATTTGATAACAGCACCACGTATTGGTAAATAGTGCTAAGCAATTAAATCGCATTACTAGTGACTGTATTTGTGATTTTTCAGCAATTTTGATTAAACTGATCTAAATCATCTTGACTGATTGTCAGTGTTATTTTTAGTTTTTTGGGGCTTTATTTCCTTTTCTAAAATAAGCCGTGTTACAGGTTTAGTTTCATTAAATGGTGGTTGTTGGGTGTTTGCTGTTGAGTCAGGCTCATTGTTTTTGTCTTCTGATCAATTCTCATGAGAAACATTTTCTGCAGGTTGAGCATCAGGGTTAGATCCAGATGTGTCTGTTTGAGTCTTACCTCTTGATTGATTGTCATTGTTATTGTTATTATTTTTTGCTTTATGTTCTGTTCTGGCACAGGTTGTATTACAGGTTTTGTTGGATGTTTGCTGTTCTGTCAGTCTCATTATTCTTGTCTTCTGACTGATTCTCTGGATCACAAGAAATATTTTCTGCAGGTTGGGGATCAGGATCAGACATACAGTAGAAGTACGTTTTTGAGTCTCTCTTGATTGATTGCCAGTGTTATTGTTTGTTTGTTTGTTTCCTTTTCTAAAACAGGTAGTGTTATAGGTTTAGACTCAGATTAGAGTAGTTCGATTTAGAGCAGATTTAGATTAGTTTGTTGGGTGTTTGCTGCTGAGTCAGGCAGATTATTCTTGTTTTCTGACTAATTCTCTGGGTCGAGAAAAGTTATGTCTAAAAGACGTCTTTTCAGTGTCTTTGTCACACGTTGAAAAGATGTCCACTGAGGAGCCAGAATGAAAGTTTTTGACGTGTTCTTCACGCCCGATATAGACTTTCATGGAACCTCTGAACAAGGTTAAAAACGAGTTCAAATGTGGTCATTGTGGACATATTTTCAACCTCATTTAAGGTCTCTTTTAGACATAATTTATATGGTTTCTGAACCAAATAAACAATCTCAGGATGCATTAAATTAAAACTAAAGTTTATTTCAATGTAATTTCCATTTGTAATTGCAAAGCAACTCACAGACAGTTTGTGTTTGTTCAAAAATCATGAAAATGAAAGAAAATTATCTCACACCTTTAGACAATTTAGCATCTGTAATTCACACATCTTTGGATTATGAGGAAAACTGAACTGAAGTAAAGACGTTTTGGCTGAGCTGGGACTCGAACCAGGGACCTTTTTGCTGTGAGGGCACAGTGTTTTCCACTGAGCCACTTGCGTTTGGCTGCTGCCATAAAATATAGA